GACAATTTTTTTTTTGTGAGTAACTGGATGTCATATCTAAGATGTTAAACTAATGAGACTTTCATCTCTTGGTAAGGGAAAGGTGTCAAGGAGTTTTACCATATTCATCGATTTTAAATCAATGTAGAACCTTGATATACCTTCCTTCTTCCTTACAATCACTATTGGGGACAATTATGATCTCTCCAAAAGTCATATGACTGTTTACTTTAACACACACTTTATTTTTTTATTGATGACCTATCTAATGCTCCAAAGAAGCTGGGATTGCACTTACTTTATTGGATGTGCACTGCCTGTGTCTACGTAGTTATGAGTCATCAGTGTTCAATCAGTTTGGTCATCTGTACCCACAAATACATTGGCATATTCATCCAATACTTCACTAAGATGCTTCTGTTGCATTGTGTCTAGATTGTTTGTACAATCCTCAACTAATCGCCTAAGATATATCGGTAGCACTGTATTTGATTTCTGACAAAGTGCAATTGATACAAACCTAGCATTTACCACTAGTGTCAGTTACTTTCACTTTGCACCCCGTGCCTATAATAATTCCAGCATTCAGCTGAATGGCCAGTTACCCAAAATTAAAAAAAATACAGGAATTACATCCATTGTCAGACAGATGACTTTCTAATCTAATGCTGCCTGCATTCTGAACATGAAACAGTTTATTTCACATGTGACTTCCATAACTGCTTTACATAGTACCCATACACTAAACATTGTCCATAGAATACCACGGAAAACAACTTATGTATGCAAAGTACTGTTACTCCTGTATTCCCTCTGTTAAATATATATATATATTCATGCAGTTATGAATTCGATCTAGTCAGCACTGAATGACACTCCCGTTGTATATCATATCACCTGTTTCATATGCAAATCTGATAGATAACTTCTACAGTATGGAAAAGTGTGTGCTGTAAACTAACTGCCTTTCCTCTACTCTGTTAGTTCAAAATGATGGACAGCTATGAAGAGGCAGCTAAAATAAGTGATAAATCTGAAACAAACTGAATCATTGGAATGTCTTGGACATGATTTGAATTAAGGAAGTATTAACCATGATACATTCTATGGGAATATGTTTAACCCGTCTTAGAAAGTGTTTTATTAACCGTGATACATTCTATGGAATATGTTTTACCCGTCTTAGAAAGTGTTTTATTAACCGTGATACATTCTATGGGAATATGTTTTACCCGTCTTAGAAAGTGTTTTATTAACCGTGATATATTCTATGGGAATATGTTTAACCCGTCTTAGAAAGTGTTTTATTAACCGTGATATATTCTATGGGAATATGTTTTATCCGTCTTAGAAAGTGTTTTCTGCATGTCTTGTAAAAAAGGAGCTTGCGCAGTAGCAACACTTAATCCCAGTTTTTATGCTTATACAGAGGTTTAAGCACGTCATATTAAAACAATTTTGAATATATAAATCAGCACGTAATGCGATAGACACAGTCAAATAAATAATGGGAGAAATATCTTGTTTCAAAACTACGTTTTAAAATTGTTTGGCAGTTGTCTAATGCCACCAAAAGTACAGGTTTTTGGGAAGATTATGTAACACTTCTTTTGGGGCACCAAAGCCACCCAGAAAGAGATTTGCAACAAGTCGTACCCAAGCCATGATAAGTAAACTACAGTATTTTGTAACACGTGAGAATTCAACGACCATCCTTGCCTCAGAAAACAGTATGCACATTAGATTGATTATGGAAAGGTACGTGAAAGAGGGTGTGTTTTGAACATGGCAGAACCTTTTGCAATAGAAACCACACTGCAGGGCTATTTTCAAGATGCACTGTGGTCAGATAGAACATTTATGAACGTGGTGACAAGATGAGGCTCCAAAATTACTTTATATAACGTACTAAACTTTTACATTTGGTGACATAACTTCTACTTTTATTTCTTATTTTGTTTACATTTTTTGGTTGTTTTGACATGCCTATTTTTCACTGATATTGCTAATAGTCAGTGGTATACCTCTGTTTCACAGGCAATAATATGTTTTCTACTTGATTTTCTATCTACCTCTTTACTTTAAAACCCTTTTAATAATATTTTTACCACTTGCTTTATGGCTACGTATAGTATCTGCTTGTGTGTATATTTGCTAAAAACAGTACATTAAAGTGCTGTAGAGTAGGCCATATCAGAATTTTTTTTTCGCATGTTTTCATAGTCTCTAAAATTGAATTCATAGGTTAATCTAGTCACTATATAAACTTATTATTTGTTTCATCTTATGACTTATTTTAGTTGAGTTTACTTAAAATTCTGTTAATATTTAGACTTTTTGTTGTGAATATGAGGTTTTCCCTGACTCGTTTTATTTGTTAGATTGTGATACAAAAGAAAATCAGTTTGGAACGTGAAACCACAAAAATACCTAAACTATGATTAGGGTAATGTAGTGTAGGGTAATATTTACTTGGCTTACCCATGCAGAAATATTTGAGAAATGCTTTAATGATTCGTGAAGTTCTAACAAGTCACCATGTTATTTATTCCAGTAAAGGATACACTCGAAACGTGGCTAATAACCATTACAACAAAATGAGTTACACTAATCGTATTCAAATAACGATTTTCTTTTCAAAATTGAACAAGAAAGTTGGACAAGAAGACATTTCTGTTACAAATGAAACAGAAATTTAAAACTACAACCAATAATACAAGCTAACGATGCATAAAAATTTGATGTTCTTTTGTATACTGCGAGCAACAGCAACATGTTTTCCAACTGTTCATAAAGAAACGCACCCAAAATATAGCCAACTTTGGCGTAACCAACTGCCCATAAAGAAATAAACCAAGATGTGACAAAACATAGTTTTGAAAGATTGAGACATTTCATATTTAATAATACAATAATGTAGTATAACTTGGAAGAGTCGAGTTATGTACAAGGTTTCTGTAAATGGCTGTATGCATTTTAAAACGTAATAACATTTTAAGTGAAGAAAGATACGTGTTGGTCTATGTGCACTTCTGCAAACATTTTCGCCATTCTTCAAACTCGTATTCTGGAATTGTATCAGTTGCTTCCCTAGTGCAACTCTTGAGAACAACAGCCTTAGCTGACTATTGGCTCTAGTTTGTATACTTTATATGATCCAGATTGTAGTGTTTGGACAATGTCCGGTGCATCAAGAACACGAAGTGAAAATGAGTTTTGTGTCTCGCCTTGCTGTAAGAAATGCGTACCAATAGCAACACAAACTTCTAAACCATAAACATGAGATTCTACAACATTTCCAAGTACATATGTTCATTGACAGTTTTAAGTTTCAAAATAAAGAGATAATAAATAGTTTTTTGTGAAAGAGAAGAGCTTACATTGGTTTTCTTGTGAAACATAACAAGGTACATTAATTTTTATAATTTCTTTTTAGGCACATTTGTCTACTATATTAAAGTAAAAAAATACAAAAACCGACATTTTTTGGCACAATGAAAGGTAAAATCTTTATCATTAGCTACAGCCTACTAGTTTCGGTCAATACTGTTACTAGCCCTGATGATGGTAACTATGTTACCGAAGCTAGCCGGTTGTAACTAATAATAAAAATTTTACCTTTCACTATGCCAAAAATACGTCAGTTTTTGTGTTTTTTACTCTTAATGCATTGTTTATTTTGTGAAACATAAAATAAATTAATTTTGTTTTGAAACAGGACAAGGTAGGTTGGATTTTGTTGTGAAACAGGACAATGTTTATGAATAACGTGAATAGATAAATTGATAGATAAAAAATACTCTGTACAACGTTATAAAACCAGCATTTAAATATATATATATATATATATATTACCGTAGGAAAAATTAATAACAGCGTATGGTGAAAAGACTCACTAAAACTACAATCAGGCATACTTTAATACTCATTAAAACAACAATCAGGCATATTTTAATACTCACTAAAACAATAATCAGGCATACTTTAATACTCACTGAAACAATAATCAGGCATACCTTAATACTCACTAAAACAACACTGAGGCATACCTTAATACTCACTAAAACAACACTCAGGCATACGTTAATACTCACTAAAATAACAATCAGGCATACTTTAATACTCACTGAAATGACACTCAGGTATACCTTAATACTCACTAAAACAACACTATGGCATACCTTAATACTCACTAAAATAACACTCAGGCATACTTTAATACTCACTAAAACAACAGTCACGCATACCTTAATATTCACTAAAACAACACTCAGGCATACTTTAATATTCACTAAAACAACGCTCAGGCATACTTTAATACTCACTGAAACAACACTCAGGCATACTTAATACTCACTAAAACAACACTCAGGCATACGTTAATACTCACTGAAACAACACTCAGGCATATCTTAATACTCATTAAAACAACAATCAGGCATACTTTAATACTCACTGAAACAATACTCAGGCATACCTTAATACTGACTGAAACAACACTCAGGCATACCTTAATACTCACTAAAACAACACTCAGGCATACTTTATTACTCACTAAAACAACACTCAGGCATACGTTAATATTCACTGAAACAACACTCAGGCATATCTTAATACCCATTAAAACAACAATCAGGCATACTTTAATACTCACTGAAACAATACTCAGGCATACCTTAATACTCACTAAAACAACAATCAGGCATACCTTAATACTCACTAAAACAACGCTCAGGCATACTTTAATACTCACTAAAACAACACTCAGGCATACCTTAATATGGGAAAGGTTAACGAAAACTATCAACGATATTTGAATTGTCGATGACGTAAAAACACGAAGTACAATCTCTCAAGTGGCAGCAGATCTGATAAGTTATCAAAATAAGGCATAGAATAATTTTAAAATTTCACTCTTTTTTTTCTAATTGTAAGCTTGTAAGGATTTTACATATATTTTAGTTTAGTTTGGAGTTAGACTGGAGAAACAAATCATTTTCAGAAAATAGAAAACATTTTACCGTTTTTGTCTTCCGTTTTTTCGGTGCTTGTAAGTTTTTGAGCAACACACAAGAAACAGGGTTGAGCGACACCTCTTGGTTCGTAGTATATATCATGATTTGGGTCCTTTCCGTTCTTAGCTAGATAAAAACTGGAATACACGAAGACAGATTTTTTTTTTTCATGAAGTGTGGTTAAAATAATTTCTTTACAAGTTATATATGTTTTATCTGCGATTACCAGATAATTATGTAAGATATAACTTACGTTATGTAATAAAATCCAATTAAAGATACCATATAATTGAAATGTTCTAAATGTTACAAGTGACGGCTTCATCTTTCACAAAAGTAATTGACCTCGTTTCTTAAGTATGCCAATTGTTTCTATTAAAATATACTTTAAGATGATTAGTGAAATGTGAGCGAGGAACTGAAGATCTTCTTCCTACCCTTCGGCGTTCTCTGAAGAGTACAAATCCACATTCCGTCTCTGAGTTACTTTGGGACTTAACAAGATAGAATGTTGGTTTATCACTCCTGGTAACACTGGTTGCCGAGTACCTACTGCTTGAGAATAAACGCGGTTTCCTGGAGCGTATATTTCATTGTTTATAATTCCTGGTAACACTGGTTGCCGAGTGGCTACTGGTTGAGAATAAACGCGGTTTCCTGGAGCGTATATTTCATTGTTTATAATTCCTGGTAACACTGGTTGCCGAGAAGCTACTGCTTGAGAATAAACGCGGTTTCCTGGAGCGCATATTTCATTGTTTATAATTCCTGGTAACACTGGTTGCCGAGTAGCTACTGCTTGAGAATAAACGCGGTTTCCTGGAGCGTATATTTCATTGTTTATAATTCCTGGTAACACTGGTTGCCGAGTGACTACTGGTTGAGAATAAACGAGGTTTTCTGAGGCGTGGATCTCAGCCTGAATCACAGCAGCAGAAGGCCCTTTCTGAGTTTTAGGTCTGACAGCAACACCAGGATCTTGTTGGTTGGCAATAATCCTTTTAGCCATTCGAGGCGACTTGATCTCTAACAGATTAATGCCCCCCGGAGTGTACGTAAAAGGTTTTTTATCATTCTTCATTGTCTCGTATAACTCGGGGGGTAAATTACGGTACTGATGACAATCATCTTCATCTGTTTTATTAATGTATTGCTGTGAAGTCTGACGACTACTGGTCTCATAGTCTGTGTTGCTCATCTGTAAAAGATGGATATTTTAAAAACATTATACTATCTATAAAAACCTTTTGTTAACCCAGCTCAAAATATAGCTTTTACAAAAAGTACACACATATTTAAACTTTGTTAATCTAACTATAAATGTGGTTTTAAAAGTATTATACTTAATAATACATGATTTTATTCAACTTTCCTCACCTAGTTCTAAATATAGTTTTAAAACATTTTACTTCTCAATACACATTTTATTAAGCCAGCTCTGAATATCGTTTTCAAAACATTTTACTTAACATTAAACACTTTTATTAACCTTTTTTAGCCTAGATGTAAATTTAGTTTATAAAAACACTTATACTTATTCAGCTTTCTCGACCCACTTCTAAATATATATTCTTTTATAAACGTGACTTAATAGGCATATTTTAAACAGTTCAGTCAAATATCATTAAATTCTTCGCTAGCATTATAACCATTACAAAACTGCTTTGAATAAAAGTTTAGTTTAATTGAGTAGTAAGAAGAAACGATGAACCGTGATTAGATTTGAAAGAAGTAAGGTATCTAAATGGGGTAGATATTTCGTTAACACTATCCAATTGTAAAGTAATAAAAACTTAAATAAGTAAAAATTGAAAAGATTAAATAAATTATTTCCGTAATGTAGATTTTTATGTATTAATTGATTTAGACTTCGTTATCTCTTTTAAGCAATGAGGATAATAAGATCACAATCTCAGTCCCAGACTTTAGATTCGCTGTTGGAGAACTGACGAACTTTGTTAGGGTAAAGTGCGTGTGAAAGTTCTGTGGTACTGTTGGGGTGCTCAGCTTCTTTAAGGGATTCTTCTGAAAACCCTCTGGTACTGTTGGCACGAGCAGCTCCTTCACTACAGAGGAAGCATTCACAAATACAAGACAGCACATTTTCTAACAGTTTACTCCTTGATTCTCCATCTTTTTCATGGAGTTTCACCTGGAAAATGAGGTTGAGGAAAGTTAACTTTCTGTAAACAAGCTTCAACACTTAATATTGTTTTTGGTAAGTCACACAAGAATCACTTCAAGGTATTAATGACGATCTTTCTAAAAATCATCTGTATGTTTAAAAGAAAAACATGAATACTTCAAACAGTATACAAATTTCTTGACAACTTTACATTGATGTATTATATACTACATTTTACATTAGCATGTCAGATCTGATTTCACCCATAATATTTGGTAAATTTAATGTTTAAGACAAAAGACCTTAGTGTCGATTACAGCTTGAGTTGTTGTTTTTCTTCTATTATACCTCTGAGAACCTATCATAGGTATAAATAAAATTACTTAGCTCCCCCCCCCAAAAAAAACACAACAACAAATCTGGAAATGATGTTTTAACAGATTAACAAAATCTTGGTAAAATTCATTGTTTCTGTCCGTCTTTGTGCACTTATCTTATGAGATGAATTAAATATAAAATAGTTGTAAAGACAGATTTTAAGAGTATCATTGGTGCATTATTTAGTGACACCTTGTATTTACTCTTCATGAAAGGTTTTTCATTGATCTTGTGTATAAATCAAACACTTCTTTTTAGAATTTATTTTAAGTATGTCAATGATAATAGGGGAAGAAAAATGTTAAATAGTGTATGTTTTGTGTAACCAGACAAATCGGTAAACATAATCTGTTCACTACAAACACCTTATATACCAACTTATATCTCTTATCCCAAGAAAATATATAATGAAATTAAAATATCTCGATAATGTTTTACTTTTTTATTTCCTTCTTATTGTAATTACACGTGACGATTAAAATAGTGACATGTAACTAAAATATTTTACAGAGCCTAGTTGTGTGAATTGTAGTTGAAAATTCTCAGTTAAAAATTATATAACCAAATACTCGCTGGTGCATACGTATATGATGACAAGAATAGTTTTTTTATCTTGCATTTTATGGGATTTGCATGCACTGTAACGAGTATTTAAAAAAATATTTTCTTTCCGACTAAACATTCATTAATATATCATATGTTTGAAAATTCATTAGTATATAATAATTCTGAAAGTTCATTAATATATCAATAAGTTTGAACATTCAGTAACATATCAAAAGTTTAAACATCTATTAATGTATCATAAGTTTGAACATTTAGTAATGTATCAAAGTTTTGAACATTTAGTAATGTATCATAAGTTTGAACATTTAGCAATGTATCAAAA